TCTGGTGTCTACAATTCCATTGGAATCTTGTTTTAGTAAATGTATTAGGGTGTCAGATGACAAGAAAAGCTGTGTGAATGATGAAAGTCTAGAGATGTGCATTTACTTTAAAGATTGGTTGGATGTTGAAGATAGATTACAAGACAAAAGAGGGCATGACACTAAACTCGATGTTTCACCTGAAGCAGATGATTAGAGTCAAGAACAATATGAGAAAATGATGAAGTCAATTTTTTTTTGTATACTCAATAGTTTTATAACATTTTTTAAAATTATTGTAAATTTTGTTTTAATTTTATTTTATTTATTTGATATTTTTAATAACATAATTTTTATTTTCAATATGTAACTATATTGTACTTTTATATTTTATTAATTTATTCCATTTTCCAATTTCCATATTTCATTCATCCAACCATTGTATGCTTTGTATCATTCAAATTTAAATGAAATAAAATTCCTATTTTTCTTCCAATTTGTTATTCATTTTGAGTCTATCTCTTTGACTTCTTATTTGGTTAAGTATTTTTTCATTTCTTTGTTAGATTTCTTATTTGTTCAAGTAGTTCCCAAAGGAAAGTTAAATATTTTAGTTTTACTTAGCGAAGAAATAAAAAATAAAAAAATGTCAAAAAATAAAATAAAAAAATAGTTTGGCCCAGTTCGGCCCACGCCCAAGGCCTGACTTGTGGCCCAACTTGGTACAGTCTGCAGCCCGTTCGGCCTAGGCCCGCACGGGCTTGGGCGTGTGTAATACCTAGCCAACCCCCCAAATTATCTCTAGGGAGGGTGACGTGTCCCAGGATGGCCCGCACTTTGTGTTGGTCGTGCCATGCCATGCCGACCCGCCATGACCCATTTTACACCTCTAGAAATGAAGGAGAAAGAAACGACGGAGGAGAAAGATGACATATAGGTGGTGGAGAAAGCCTGCAAGAGAGCTTCGGTCAAGGAGACCTCCCTTTGTGGCGGAGCATAGCGACAACAAGATTTGGTGGTGGAGAGGTTAATGGTAAAATGTTGTAGGGTTAAGAGTGTGTATGTGAAACATAATATAAAAAATGAACTATGGACACACAACCCTTCCACATAAATAATCATTGCTGATATTTTGGGGTGTGGATAGGGCCGATCCAGTATATAGTGTGGACGGGTCCCATCTATGCTCAACTGAATTGCATGTTCACCCCGTGGCATGGATTGAAATGGTTCACCCCGAATCCCATTCCTATTCCCGGCGGACATTCCCTCTCCCTCTTTTGAGAATGAAATCCCATTTCAGCTAATTCTAATTCCCATTCTAATTCATGTCTAAACTAAACAAACTATAGGAATAGAATAGACCATTCCCATTCCAATTCTGACTGTGGGGCCAAATGGAAAGGGAATGAAGCCTTTAGACAAAAGATAAATATCTCGATATCAGCTTCACTATAAAGGAGACAAAAGAAAAATGCAACAAAAATTGGAGATATGGATTGCTAAGATTTCTATCATAAGAGGGAGAACCACATTAGTCATATTTGTGACAAACTATTTCAATTTTCTTGATGCCAATGAATTTGTTCCAAGCTAAGATAATAAAGAGAATAGGGAAAAGGCAAAGAGTTTTTTGGTGAAATGGGGATAAGGAGACATTCAATAGCATCGGGAGAAGCTGTGTACTAAAGAAAGAAGAGGGTTAGGATTTAAGAGAGGGAAAGAGCTGAACTTAGCTCTATATAGCAAATGCAAACTTGTTTGGAGACTCATGATAGAAACAAATAATTGACGGCCGAGATGTAAACACGTCCATATGCAAACACAGATGAGATGCAAATTCTATTAGTTTGTAAACTCAGTAAAAATGTCATTTGAGATATGCCATTTATCTATTTTCTCAGCTTTTTTATATTTTTCTTATTTTCTTTTGTTTTAAAAATATAAAAAGTAATCATTGCTTATTTTGATTAGATTAATAAAGCTGCACACTATTAGAGAGAAAGACCTTTAGGTTTTCCAAAGCCTCTTATATTAATGCATGTTATTATTATAGTTAAAAAAAGACATTTAAGAGAGGGGGTGGGGGGAGAAAGGGAGTAGTGATAATAATTAATGTATTTTAAAATTTATAGTATTAATAATAATTGCAATATTTTTAATAATTAACAATATTAATCATATTAATTAAAAATAATGTAATTATTAATTAACAATATTTTTTTAATAATTATAGTATTTTGAAATAATTATCAATATTTATTCAAAAATAGTATTAAATAATGTATTTTAATTAATATAATGTAAGTTATAATTTATTAAAAAACAGTATTAACAATTATAGTATTTATTAACTAATAGAGATTAAATCATTACAGTAGTTTATTAATTAACCATATTAACTGTACTTTAAATTAATACATTATTTTTATAAATTACAGAATTATTTATTAAAATTCTGAATTTATTAATTAACAATATTTTCAATTAATATAGTACTTTTAATAATTATAGTATTTTAATTATTTAACATTATTTATAAAAAATAATGTATATTTTATTAACAATGTTTTTAATAATTACAGTATTATAATGATTAACCATATTTTAAAGTATTTTCAATGATTGCAATATTATTAATTACATTACTTATTAATTAATAGTGTTTATTAAAAAATACTAATATTTTTATTCATTTATTAGTTAACAGTTTTTTAAATTTTAATTAATGTAACTTATAATTTAAATTGTATTTTAAATATTATTTAAATTATATTTGAAACTATAAGTAACATAATTAAATTTTAACCATATTTAAAAGTAACTATATTTAAATTATTTATTTAAATATGTTTTAATCTATAACTAGCAGAAAATTACATTTAATGAATAGAAATTAACCAAGAAAATAACCAAAAATAAAGTTCCATTAATTTTGTCATAATTACAAAAAATTATCCAAGTAATTACCAAAAATGGATTAACATCATTTCTAATAAATATGATAAGTTACCAAAAACTAAAAAATATAACCATTAAAATTACTTTTTTTAGAGAATATATTTATCTATTTTCTCAATTTTTTGCATTTTTTCTATTTTCTTTTGTTTTAAAAATATAAAAAAGTAATTATTGCTTATCTTCATTAGATTAATAAAGCTGCACACTATTAAAGAGAGAGACATTTAGGTTTTCCAAGGCCTCTTATTTTAGTGCATGGTATTATTACATTTAAAAAAGACATTTAAGAGAGAGAGAGAGAGAGAGAGGAGGGAGTAGTAATAATAATTACTGTATTTTAAAATTTACAGTATTAATAATAATTACATTATTTTTAATAATTAACAGTATTAACTGTATTTATTAAAAGTAATGTATCTTTTAAATAACAATATTTTTAATAATTACAATATTTTTAAATTATTATTAGTATTTATTAAAAACAACATTAATTAATGCATTTATTAATTAATATAATGTGAACTATAATCTATTAAAAAATAGTATTAACAATTACAATATTTATTAATTAATAGTACTTTTAATTAATACCCGATTTTTTAATAATTATTTATTTAGTTAAAAGTATTTATTAAAATATTGAATTTATTAATTAATATATTACTTTTATTAATTATAGTATTTTAATTAATTAACATTATTTATTAAAAATAATGTATTTTTATTAATAGTATTTTTAATAATTACAATATTAATATTTAACTCTATTTTATAGTATTTTCAATAATTGCATTATTATTAATTACAATATTTATTAATTAGCAGTGTTTATTAAAATACTACATTTATTAAAATTGTTAAATTAATGTAAGTTATAATTTAAATTCTATTTTAAGTTTTGTTTAAATTATATTTGATATTGTAATTAAAAGTAATTATATTTAAATTGTTTATTTAAATATAATTTATGCTATAAATAGCAAAAAAGTACATTTAATGATAAGAAATTGTCTAAGAAAATAACCAAAAATAAAGTACCAATAATTTTGTCATAAATAACAAAAATTATCCAAGTAATTACCATAAATGGATTAACATGATTTCTAATAAATATGATAAGTTACCAAAAATTTAAAATATAACCATTAAAATTACTTTTTGAAAAATGTACTAATTATTAATAATCTTTAAGAAGTAAATGTAATTTGTTCATAGTGTATTTAAAATACATTTGTTTTTTCATATAAATTATAAATTATATAATTTAAACATTAATCCTTGCATATGATGATATTAGTTTATAGTGTTACAATCGAAAATAGAAAAAAATGTGTTTACTATTATGTATTTTCATTATTTTAGTTTCAATCAACAAAGCCTGTGCATCGCACAGGACTCTGATAGTTTGATATATGTCTTGTCTATGTCACTATTCCTTGGCTCTTGTTTGTGATACAAACATCGAACTTAAGTGTTTATGTACTCTGTTCGCGTTTGAGAGTATTTGTTTGACATGTAAAAAGATAATGATTAAGAGATCAAAAATGTATTTTGTTACATTTTTTACTTTGAACAGAGAGCATTGTTGTAGTTATTTTTTAGATACAATTTGTGCTCTTTCTGATAACTTTTCTTTTTGACCAAAGTTTAAGAAATTGGAGCATAATTGGAGTATTTAATGATGGAGCCCATGCAAAGACAGTTTAAAAATGTAAACCAATTTTTATTCATGAACCAAAAGGAAGGTAATTATATAAAGCATATATTTACATTTACATCGCAACCAAACGCAGCCTTGAAAGAAAATCTAAACTCCGACTCCGGAATCGGAATCGGAGGCGTTTGATTGAACAGAATCGGAATCCGATTCCCATTTCAGGCGAAATGGCCTTTCCCGAATCCCGGCTCACCCCCGGCACGGAAGGCCATTCCCGCTCATCGAAATAAGAAAAAATGAAATGACACAAAACCCCTCAACCCTCCTCTCTACCCGATTCCAACTTTCTAACCCCCTCACCCTCGTCTCTCGTCACTATCTGAATTGCGACGGCGTGGTAAGTCACCGCCAATTTCTCTCTCCCCTTTCATCATCATCTTCTTCTTCCTATCTTCTCTCTCTCGCATTTTTTCATTCCTCCCCTGTTGCTCCGCTGCAGCAAATCAGACCACGAAGAACCATTTTCGTGTGCTCAGTTGCTCACTCTCATCCTGCAATCAAGGTATGATTTATAGGCTAGGCTTGCTATTTGGTATTAGCGTATAGCTATCTAATTCTTTGTAATCTTCGATAGGATATTCATAATAAGATCTATATCATCTGGGTTAACGTTAGCATCACTGAGCTCATCTTGCATAGTTTTGAGTGTAAGGCTTTCAGATTTGGGTTTAGGTTTTAATTTTTACTGGCCAAAAAATGGCAACTCTACTGTATACTCTATCGCTTTTTTAATGGATCTGATTTTTACAAAGATAAATGCTGAATATCTTTATAATAATTACTTGCTCCTAACATCATCACAATAGCATATTAATGGATTATTTAGCATTGAAGCCTGAAAAGAAAGGGTTGTGTGGTTTCAATGCCAAAGCTAAAACTGAAAATTTGATGTAAACGTAGAGAACCCTCTTTTGTGACCATGCTCTAAGTGCAGACTCTAAAATATGAAATTAAAAATAGGAGGAACATGCAATGCAATCTCAAATTCCAATTTTGAAATCTAATATCAATATGAAATTAAAAGTCTATTTCGTAATTACACCTTAAGTTCAAACATTGGAAACTGAAGCAGATATGCAATTTATGTTCAAAATTTAAACCTAATGTCATAATTGAAGATGAAAATCAGTACCCACACTTTGACTTGAAGGCATAAGACTGAAACAAATAAATAAAAGGCAACATAGGAAACTAGCTTTTTTGAAACTAGCAATTGGGAACTAGTTTTTAGAATAAAGTTTAGGACTGAAATTGAAAAGTCACAATGTACATCCCAAAGATGGATTTAAAGCCCAAGCCCTACAGTTCATTAATTTCAAGTTAAAACAAAGAAAGAATGTTGTCATCCATCTTTAATTTAAGTATGAAAACCCAAATCCTTGTTCAATTTCCATGGCCAAGTTCTAAAAAAGACTTTTTGTAATTTTTTTTGTACTTTGATCTAAAATGAATTGAAGCCCAAAGGCTACATACCCTTCTCAAAGTTCAAAATATAAATAAGGGGGAAGCTACAGTTTGGATTGAAAGCCAAGTTGCAGGCTTGGGTTCTGGTCTACAACTCTTCTAGAAAACCAAAATGCCAAAACTGAATTCCGGTTTTTTGACCATTTTTCCCATTTGATTCCAAAACTAGATCCAGCTTACTAAGCAAGTTGCTTCCTTGCTTAAATTTTCTAAATCTAGCTTACTAATTAGCGGAGTAAAGGTATTGGCTGCTAACCTGAATTGCTCATTCAGGTAGATCCAAGATTGGCAAATTGTTTGATGGATAATTTGGCTAACCCTGTACACTAGGAGTAATCATAGAGGTAACCCAGGGCTGGATGGGACAAAGTAAATCATATTAATTAGTGTATAGGAGCAGTCAGTTACATGTTTTTGCATCACCACCCGTTTCTAACATTCTTAACTGCTCCTTCCTAATTCAAGTCACACATCACCATCTTTGTTTCTGAAACATGCCAATGTTCTCTAAGTTCAGTATTTAGTTCCTTTACCTTCTTATAAATATTGATTCCCACCCATGGGTGTTTCTAAAACAGCACTGACTTTTTTTTCAAAGAGCTGACCTGCTTCCAATGCTTCATTCTTATTATTGCTGAAATATGCAGGTTGAGTGGAATTCTCTTCACTGCTCAAAACTTCAAGCCTTGACTTAATTCCTAGGACTCGTAGACAAATGGTTGGATATGAATTCCTATTTTAACATAAAAGCCACCTACTGGCAGGAGGTAGGCATAGCAATTCTGCTGGTCCCAATTGTCATATTAACAGATTCCTAGGTCTAGTCCAGTGGCCTACAATTATCATATTAACAGATTAGCAGCTCTATGAAACATTCTGTTTAGAGGACAGGTTAGATAAATGACTCCTGTGTGGCTGGAATTTAAAGGGTAAAAGACTTAAACATACCTTGAGTTTTTAGGTATGTTTCAAAATAGACTTAAATATACCTTGTGGGCTGACCCCACTGGACTTAAACATACCCTCCATCAGTGAAACATCAAATTTGAGCTCATTTAAAATTATTAAAACCTTATTTTGCCCTTCTATCCCTTTAATAGATGCAACTTTTGAAAATCTGAAACAATAATTAACTTCAAGTCTACAACTAACAGTTTGATGGGTTCCCAGTGATGTCTATGACACATGAATTTATCATCCCCCAAGTTCTTCAACAACATTTATAATTTCTTGGGTGATATGAACCTGTTCAATTTGATATCAAATATCAATATAACATTCAATTAGGCAACCTCTTTCCTGTTCAACTCAATAAGCCCATTGTCATCCGAATCAACCTGCACCATCTTTTACAACTCCTCTCCTGCCGTTGGGTTTTCCAAGCTCTCCATCCCCATTCATATCAACTTTCTTGAAAACATTCTCTGGTTCTTTGATCTGGGTTCTCACTTCTCAAATGAATTCACAGATTCAAATAAACCAATTTCTCTCTTGGGGAGTTCTTTGATCTAGGAAGTTTTCCCACTGAACACGTCTTCAATTGGGCAGTCAAAACTTCCATTTTTAAGTTATTATAAATGATTTTGAATCTCAAAAATATGAAAACTAGTAAATGGAGGTTGCTTTTAACATATGTTTTTCTTGCACATAATCTCAACCTGTGCGGTGCTTATGTGTTAGGCTGTGATTAGATATGCAGTATAGAGTGCAGGAGATTGGGATTCAGCCATGACCTCCTTGGTCACATGCGACCCAATATGATCACCACCCACTAACAGATTGAATGGGCAGTATTTAGTAAACATGGGTTATGGACAGAATTGATACTTGAAGGCAATGGAATGACATGGTGAGGCATTAAATTTTTACTTCACATTCTTTTTGAGGATAGTGATTCTAGAGAATGTGGGTAGGGCTACAATGTAACTTTTGTATCATATAATGCATATATTTGGTTGAGCTTGAGGTTAATGCGTATAATCCATTATATTTGTATCATATATGCATATAATGCATATATTTGTTGCATTAGTTAAAGGTCTGATATGTATACAATGGATGGAACAACTTAAATCTTAGGATAACTGATAAAGGGACAAATTATTCTCATAGCTTAGGATTACTATACTATTAAAGTCTCTAAGTTTAATGTTTGTAAATCTTATTCTATTGAAATTTATAGCTTTTTAGAAGTTACACACCTATCCCAGGGTCACTTTACCTGTTAAATGATCTAAACTATTAATGAAAGGCAGTTCATTGACATTCCCAACGTCAATATTAAGTTCTATGTATAACTTGCACCTATTTTTCTCTCTGTTCGATGATGGATTAAGAGAAGGCCTGGCATCTCTTTTTTGCATTTCATTTGTTTCATAATTGATGAGTTTCAAGTCAACAATGAGCTCAGTTTGACAAGAAATTAGAAGCCAATCTCCCAACTTGATCACAATGAATTCTTTTATCTATTAAGAATTTGCTAAGATCAGAATCATATAAAATTTCAATGTATTTGGTTCTTTTTCTGGGGTTTAAAATGCCTTTTCCATGGTAGTATTGGAAAAGATTTTCTTCTTAGGGAAGAAATCAAGGAGATAACAGGAGTGATGTCAAGGATACTATTTATAGTCAACCAGTGTCACTTTTTTAATATTGAATAGTAGTCTATCAGGATGAAGGCATCAATGGGATCTTTGAGAAAGATGCACTTGTGAATAGAAAGTATGGCTAAAAAACATTAGGGGAATGCAGTTATGAAGATCTCAGGCAGCAATCTTGTTCTTACAATCTCTCTCCATTACAATGTTGACAGAATTTCAAATGTGCATTCTCCTCAATTTTGTGTCTGTGTGAGTCTATTGGGGATCTGGGGGTTGTGGGTTTAGTGTGATTGTTGAGCTCCAATTATATTGATTGGTTTTAGTTATGGGAAGTTGTCATGGATGGTGAAAACTACATACGTGTCAAATGGACTTTACTCAAAACAACTTGTTAATTGAAGGAATCTTATCTATGCTGTTTGCACTCTTGCTCAAAGACATCGTATCTAAACAATACTTTGACTTTTAACTCAGATTTTATCATGAGTCTTGTGTGCAGGTGCTTTCTGTGTAGGTATAAAATCAATGGTCATTGCTAACTATAATAGTCATGGATATGGTTTTTTGATGGTTATTCTATGAAGACTTTTAGAGAGGAAGTTTTGAAGTGCCATCTTGTTATCAACCATCTTTTAAGTTTTAGTTTAGAGCTTTCAAAATCATTGCAATCATAACACATTTGAGCTATCTTTATTACATGTTAGCCATAAAAAATCTTCTATACAAATGTGCAATATTTTCCTAGAAGAGATTAAATTTGTTTGGTATTCTTCATTTCCTCACAGATGAAGTATATGAAGTCAATTAATCTGTTCCATGATTTACTGAAGTCAAACACAGCAGGAAAAGGACGGTTACTTGGATTAGATGTTGGCCTTAAATATGTTGGTTTAGCTGTTTCAGATCCCTATAATAAAATTGCTTCTCCTCTAAGGTATGAAATCCAAATTAGCTTGATATACACATTTAATCTAAATAAAGGTGATCATCATTATTTGTATGCTTTGAAAATTCTGTGTGCTATATGTATATGCCAGCTTGTATATTGAATTAGCCTAATACTCATTCCAGCATGTGACCACTAAAGGTCACTTTAGTGGGATCCTCTAACAGTTGATGCAGAAAAATGTTTTTAATGTGTTTGCTTTTGAACAGTTAAGAAAATGTGTTATTTCCTAGGTGTAGATATATCCCGTAGCAATAATACTGTCTCTGCAGGATGTATTAACCAATTAAGATGTTAAATGAAGATTAGTCTCTGTATTTCTTCATCTTGAATGAACTATGAAACTAGCTAAGAATCCATCATATGCTTCAGAAACTGTAATGTTTATTCTTTGCTTTACCAATTTTAAGTTTCTTTTTTTGAAAAATTAGTTTTATTAACCTATGTTAGCAAGCCTGAGCCTGGGCATTTATTACCAGGCCCTGGATGTGGGCTGGGCAGGGATGGGCATCTCAAAATGCTCTTATCACCCTGTAAAACCTGGCTCGGTTTGACTTATGATCATTCCTATAGCTATCTGATTGGGACCTTCTGGAATGGGTTGAAACTGGTGTTCCTTGGGCTCAACTCAACGACTTATTCAATTTTGATTTTACTATTGCAACATTTTAGACCCATTCTTTTCATGTGGGTTGTTCACATTCAGCCTTTTGTGTGCAGAAGAGGGAGAGAGCAACTATGATATGGGGTGAAAAGGAACTGCCAATTGGAGAGAGAAAAAGTGACTCTCTCAATTGGCTAGGCTTCTATTTAATATTGGTCTCTTAAAACAGAAATGATGTTAAATCATTTCCCCTGTTCAATAATATAGAAGAAAAAGCTACTCTACCTCACTAAAGTAATAAAGGCAAATAGACAATTATACCCCCAAATAAAGAATTCTCAGGCATGAATATTGGATATCATAAATAACCAGAAAAATGCTCTGCCTCAACATGGACTTTTGAAAATCTAACCACTGGCCCACTGTGACAACTAATGAAGGTCCATATAGGCTAACAGTAAAGTATAGGGTTGATTTCTTCCTTAGACTTTGCCCCCAGTTCAACAGCTTTGAGTTCTTGTCCTCCCATAAGCTCTGTATTATCACTTCCTGTGTGCACCTCCACATAATCTTCTCTTTGTAGGAGAAAAAAGAAAACTGTGCTAAAAAAGAAAAATTGTCTATTTATTGCTTCCCATTATTTGTACATATAATGTTTTTCCCTTGAAACGTATATTTACTAATAAAAGCCTATAACATATTCTCTTAACATCTAAACTCTATCCTTCTGATTTATCCACTACTTTGTCCTACCAAGCTGGGATCTTATTTTCCCCTACCCAAAATTGTTCTTTTTGTTTTGTATTTTCTTTACTATTTCTGCTTGTAATTTATTCCTTGTATTTGTCTTTTTCAATTCTGCAGTGTACTGGTTCGAAAGAAGTCAAATATTGACTTGATGGCTAAAGATTTTCAATCTTTGGTGAGTTTGCCAAACCTATTTTCTTTTGACCAGTAATCTTGAATTAGTGAATTGGTTAGCTGTATTTTTCTGATGTAGACTACCTGGATGATTGATGCTTGTGATTTATTTCATCTGTATTCATCTCAGGCATTAACGGATTAGGTCTCTTTATGCTATTTGTGAATACTTGTTGGAGGTATCTGTCACAGATATGTTTCAATTTCCAATCTTTCTGGTTTTAATACTTCTGCATGTATAGTGGTTTCTGATTGGCACTTTCAAGTTTTTAACATTGGGAATATGAGAAAAAAAAAGTGTTGTTAATCCATCTTGGGAATATTGCTTTAGTCGATCACTATTGGAGTAGCTGTGGCTGTTGCTTTTCTCTTACAAAGTTTTATTTGCTAAGAGCCTAAGACGAGAGTGATAAACTAGATACACTGACCGAACCCAGAACCAGGTTTTAGATACCCATTTAAAAGTGATGTAAAATGTAGCCATGTGTTATGACGTGACAGCATGCATGGTTGTAGATCATATATTGAGATATTGTTGAATTTATGTTTTCTTTCTGTTAACTAAAATTCCACAGCCTGATGTTTTTGAGCTCTTCTCTCACCTAGTGTTTCTATGCAGATTTCAGAATTTTCTCTGGTGGGCTTTGTCGTTGGCTATCCTTTCGATTATCAGCGTAACACTCCAGATGTATGTTTTTAGTTAGTCCATAATCAATTAATTTCCTTTTCTCTTCTTCCTTTCAACTTCTTCTACTTTGGATTATAGGCTGTTCAAGTGAAGCTTTTTATTGAGGATCTCCGCAAAATAGGAAAACTTGAAGATGTGAAGTATACATATTGGGATGAACGTTTTACATCAAAGGTAAAGGGTCGTACTTTCATTGGTGAAATGTTTTTCCCCCCGTTAAGCTAACTCCTGGATCAAAGCAGATGAGCATGAGTACACATTGTAACAGTTGAACCCAGTTGCACCGATTGGACCAATAATAATATTAGTGATGATTTCTTTCAGTGTGTGGAATTACTATTGAAGCCTTTGAATCTGCATCCGGTAGAATCCAAGACAATTCTTGATAAATTTGCTGCTGTTGGAATACTCCAGGTAGTAATCTCGTTAATGCCACCTAGTTATACTCTCATACTGCAACTGCATGCCATATATCATTGTTGTCTTGCCTAATATTATGCATGTTTATGCTGGTGTTATTTTGGTCTTTTGGCAGGGGTACCTGGATTACGTAAACATGAACTTGAAGTTGGAGAAAGAGGTAAATGATACATAGCTAGCGGAGTAGTGTTATTTTCCTTGATATTTTGTGACTTCTAATGCGAAAACCTCGTCTTGTTACTCTTACTGGTTTTATCCTTCGGAAAAGTTGTATTTCATTGGATAGATATTTTAAGGGGAGAGAGAGAGATCCCAGTTTACCGTGGGATCAATTTGGATCACTTCTGATCTAGTCGGACAGGTCAGCATGACTGGAAATTCATGTATATATATATAATATAGAATTATGTTTACATATAATATATGAAATATTTTGTATTTAATTTATGTTTTTTTAGTTCAGTTTTAGATTCTTTTATTTGTAAAAAATATTAAAATTATAATTTGAGGCCAAATAGGGATTTTTTGGAAAAAAATAACTGGGCAAAGTGCCTACATCCCCTTGGGACGCATAGATCTCAAAAAATGATCCGAAGTCTCAGTAGTACAAATCTACAAATTTGCATTTGTACTCCTTCCAAACTGAGCCAAAATAAAAAGTTCACCTCAGACATTGGAATACAAAGTATGGCCTCCTTAAGTTTGCAAACACATTTAGCATTCAACCCTTGGCCCAGTCATCGGGTTAAATGAGTCAACGGTCCAACTATTTGGGTCAGATGATTTTGACCAAGTCAAAGGTTTTTTGACTTTTAGGATTTATTCAAACTGGACCTAAAATCTTGATTAGATGACAATTCGAGTGGTCCAATCAGTTGGGTCAATGACGGCAAAACAATGATTTTGAGTTTTCAGAGCTCACTGATGTGTCACTTGGCCATTAAACATTTAAACTCATATCCCAGGTTTATTGTTGGGAAGTGAATTTCATTCATTCAGGGTTGTTGCAAAACTTTCTTATAGAAGAGAGAGATCCCAGTGGGAATATTTCATCATTTTGGATTGCATTTTGCAGGAAGATGCCAAGTGCATTTCATTCATGGGTTTGTTTTGAAAACTTGAAGAATAGTAAAGGGTTAAAATAGTATATTTCGTTATATATCAATTGTCAGAAAAACTTAAGAAAGGGATTAGAGTTGGTCCATTTCCTTAAACTAGGAGATTCATAATTTTATGGGTACATAATTTCATGGATGCCCCACGTACATGGATACATGCATAAATATTGGTATTATCAAAAAATTAAACCGAAATTAAAATATAATTTATTTGTAACCCATGCTATTTAAAAAATATATATTTGTAACCCATGCCCGTTGTTAGGGTCAAACATATTGATGGTTCATCCATCTGGATTGACAGTTGACAGTTGACAGGTATTTAACCAAGCCAACAGTTTTTGACTGACTACTGGGTTTGGGATTAACTTAAACCAGATAGTTGTTAGGTGATGGTTTGAACGATTACTGAGCTGCCTAAGAGTACGGAAAGCCACTAAAATCAAGTTTTTTGTATGTAGTAGTAAAAGGGCACGTGCGCAGCATGAAAGGTTGTCATGAAAATGCATAAGAATGGAAAAAAAATACTTTACATTACCTCACGACAAATAAGGGTGCCAATGGACCGGTTTTGGATTGGATCCCATTTGGTCTAAAATCAATTTAGATGGATTAGATGGATTAGATGGACCAATAAGACATATTGAATTGGATTCATCCGGTTTAAAATATTTATTAGATTAGATTGGACCTCCCTGGTTCATTCATAACAAATTTATATTAGACTAGGTTGGATTAAGCTAACATCTCGTCCATTGATATAAGATAAGAATATATGTGTCGATGGACCAAGCTTGGGTTGAGACCAATCTAAATCAAAATGGGTTTGAATAGATTGGATGGTCCAAACATTGAATTAGACCAGTCTAAATTAATCCAAAACATTCATTGGATTGGATTGGACCTGATCCATTTATAATGGATTCACATTGGACTGGATCAGATCGGACCAAATCCAGTCTAATTGACACCCCTAACGAAAAATTTCAAAAGAGGACATTGAGGCAAATTTGAACAGAGGACATTAATAGTATACAAAATTTGACATGAAAAAAATACTTAGCCTCACGACATATTTGAAAACAGAGGGCATCAATAGTCCAGCATTACCTTTAAAGATTACCACTTCCTCTTGTCCGGTTGGCTCCTCTTTAAAATATCTGAACTTTGGTTGCTCTCGTCTTTGAATAATGTCTCATGTGCTTGCTGTTTTGGACTTGTGCTTAGACGAAGGGAATCCCAAGCTCCATTTATATACATTCCCAAATGAAACTGAAATATGTTCATTGCCAATCGTGGAAATCGTGGAAGTGGGAATATTTTTCGGTTCATCTTTAGAGCGTGGAATTCGTGGGAGAAAGGGCCTTGTTTCCTTCGACTTTGTGGAAGAAAGAGCCTTTGTTCTTAGAGACAAATTTGTGCAAATGGCAGAAGTGGATCAAAGTGGGAGTAAATTCTGATTTCTGAGAGATAACTGCTGCAGTGAGTTGTGGGAGATGAATCTGATTTGTGAGAGAGAGGGCCTCCTTTCTCTGTTATAAGATATAACTATTGCAGTGAGTAGTGGGAGAGAAATCTGATTTCTGAGAGATAACTATTGCAGTGAATAGTGGGAGATGAATCCGATTTGTGAGAGAGGGATTCCTTTCTTTGAGAGATAATTGTTGGACCGAGAGAGGAACTGTAAATGTAGCAGTAGTAAAAGACAATAATACTCTCCATATGCTCACTATCTGGTTAGACTAATGGGGTAATAAAAGTCTAATGAACATTACAGTATTGGGCCTTCCGGAGTTTGGGCCCAACTTTGCTTAAGGGCTCTGTGTTCTGTGGTGAGAATACGTGAACAGCACAGGTTGTTAAATGTAAACCAATTTTTTCCATATTGTGAGACCCATTGGTAATACTAATAGGGCACTAGCAATAAAATTTGGACAAATTTATTAAAGTACTCCTATGCATAAAAAATTGATTAATTTTAATCTGTTTTCGTATTGTCTTAAAGTACTCTCACAATTGACTAATTATTATTAATTTTTAAAAATTTCTAAAATACCCTTTTCCATTCTTCTTCTCCTCTGGTTCGGTTACCGAAATTCGGTATCCTGTCACCGGCTCACCGCTGAACCAACAACAGTGATTCCATTCTCATTCTCTCTCCTTTTTTTTTCTCTCATTTCATCCTCTCTCTCTCTCTCTCGCTCGTTCTCATTTTTCTCTCTCTTGATTCTACTCCACCGGTTTCCCTTGTTTTTTATCAATCAAACTAAATCGCCGTCGTTATTGCAACTTCTGGCGGCGGCAGTCCTCCACCTTTCATTGCAGAAGCGTTTCATTTTTGGTTTTCATATCTTACTTGATCTCCTCCTTGAAACCATCACTTGACTTCCTGCAAAACCTTAACTCTGTTGATCCAAATCGCTCTGGTTTCTTTGTTGTATCAAGGAATTCGATCCCAAACCCAACTTCTTCTATTCCTCTGAATTCTTCACCGACCACCCGGATTTCCCGCACCCCACGTCACCTGGTCGTAGGGAAATGACATATTAAAGTCTGATGTGTCTCCTTGTCCCATTCCTTTTTCTACCTTCGGAAGCATTGTGACAACGAGGTCCTGAAAGCGCTCTACAACAAAGCCGGTTGGACCTTCGGAGAAGACGGTACCACTTACAGAAAGGTAAGCAAGAAAATTCTCCCTTACCAATCTATTTTTCTACTCATTCTCATTGCTCTCACCCAGTGGTATCTTGTTTCACCCGACGCATTTTTTTTACTATAAATGTACATAGAAATTTTCATAGAAATTTTATAGGCACTTTAGTAACAGAATCCATTTCTTTCCCACACTTTCACTCTTACCAGTTCGGTACTTCGGTCCAAGCAGATTTGTGGAGTCAAATTAATCTGAAGAGGGCTTGGTCTTGAACTTGTAGAGGCGCTTCTTAGAGCTTTGGTTGTCAATGGTGAGGACGATCTTGCCTGGTTCTAAGATTTTGAAGCTACTGCACAACAGTGGTTCCTCGCTTGAGGCGATCATCTTCGATTTCTGAATGATCACAATGTATCCATCTTCAGCGCTTGGCACGAATTCATCGCCATAGCTGACATCCCAACCCACTTAAAAGGTTCAAAATAGGGCGTATCGGTACTGCTTTTTTTTTTTTTTAATTTCAGAGGGATCGGTCTATAGGCGAGAGCAAAGAAAAACCGAAAAATCGAACTGACCGAAACCAAATTGAAAAAACGGTTAATCGAACTGGTCAATTCGATAATATTAAAAAACTGATAGTTTCGATTCAATTTTAATTAACCATTTAAAAAAACTGGCGGTTAACTGATATATATTCATTATTTTTTTTTGAAAATCGAATAAGCACTTTCCGCGGTTTGAAAGTTTAAGACTGCCGAATTATATAATAAGCACTTTCAGACATTCTCTTTGAAAGTTTCAAAGAGAAACTTTGAAAATCAAAAATAAAAAGTTTCATACAGAAACTTTCGGCCTCTAGACTGGAGACTGTCAGCGTCTCAGTCTCGAAAATAGAAAAACTTAAAGCCTTTAGCCCTTTTTTCTCTTTTGTCTTGGTGGTTTTCCTTTCACCAGCTTCTTTGAACCAGATTCTCAATCTCTCATAGTCTTATTCTCTCAAATACTTAGTTATTTTTTCCTCAACGGACCGACAGCCTCTGGTGCTCTGCTCTCCGATTGAAACACTGATGGCCTCTGACAATCGAGTCACCGTTCATTGACGTTCGACACTCCAACCAGGCGACCAGTGTTCACAGTTCTGTCTCATCTCTCACTCTCAGTTAACAGTTCTATCTCTCATCTCCGACCAGCCCTTTCTCTCTCTCATCTCTCTCACTCTTGGTTTACAGTTCTATCCACTTGTCCAGTGTTACTCTCTCCAAACCATCGGCAGGGAAGATTTTTTTCCTTTTTCTTAATATATTGAAGGCATAAAAAAACTGAAAAACTAAATAGCGGTTAACTGGTTGTATCAGTTCGATTTTGGTTTGGTTAAATTGAAAAATCAAACAGTTCGGTTCGATCCAGAAAATCATCCCACGATTCGGTTAACTGAACTATGAACACCCCTATCGGTCTACCCCTAAACCACTTGCTGACCCAAAACACCCCTTAGGGTATATTGAAAAGACTCCGATACCATACATATTGATCAATATAGGCCAATACATAACAATATTTTGAACCTTAAAAGTGGCATGCCTCAAGGTGTAGGAAATTCCATGGTAATCTCGTTAGCAGAATCAGGGTTGGTGAATTCACCTTCACCTTTTATGCTATCCTCCAAATTGTCTTGATTTTATGAACTTTCAACTCTAAAACAGAACTGAAGTCCATTATTCAATGATTGGCCCTATTAGCTTCTTTATCATCACTAAATATGTTAATGAGTGCAGATGTTGGAGGATTATTAGGTAAACCACTGGTCAGATTAAATGAGCTCCGTACCTTGGACCCAAGAAATCACGCACCTATGTGCCCTTTCATTCTTCTTTCGTAGGATAGAACCGGTAGAACAATCCTTTTGCAGTGTTTTCTACTGGCGCACGTTAGATCAATTTCAGGGGGTGCTTTCTTTTCCTAGCCGCATGAAGCATAAAGGTTTTCTGCTAGTCTACACGATGACTGTAAATTTGAAGCACTGCAAGCCTGAAGGCATATAGGACGCCATGTTCCCGGAGGCATGTTCTATCGAAGCTAAAGCTCCTCCCGTAAATGGAGGCATGGAAGGCTCCTGTATTATCGGAATGGTTTCCCTTATCTTACCGGAATCTGTCAACAACGATGAAGGTCTATTATTGGGCACTAGGGATGTCAATGCAGTAGGCAAAGATGGGCATAATTTTGAAACTTTAAGGATATGTTTGGTTTGAAGGAAAATGTAGGGAAAGGAAGGAAAACCTTTACAACACTTGTATTGGTTTCCCTATCTTTCCCTTTCTTTCCCTACCTTTTCCTTCAAACCAAACATAGCCTAAAGAAGAATGGAGGGTAAGATAGTCTTTTTCATATTTTCGTTAACAGACACTAATGACAAAGAAGGATTAGTCAATAATATGTAAACAGTAAGGGTAGAGTTAGTTAATTTCCTAAACCAAAGGGATACTTTAAGAAATTTACCATAAAATTTTATGTTGGGTTTCCGGTGATCCTTAATCCCTATTTGGGAGTTCTTATCCACTAAGCACTTATGAGTGTTTGGTGAAAAATCTTATTTCAAACAAGGGCAATATAGGTAGTATATAGGTATTCTCAGAATGATGCCATGGGTCAAGATAGGCTATAAAGGAAATAAGTGCCTAAAAATAAGGGTAAATAGCAATGTTTTAAAAATTGACCTAGAGGCCGAATCGTTTTTGCCTCTGGGTTGCAGGTCACCAATTTGACCGGTTGGGTCGAATGGTTCAGACCGTGCCATGTCGGTGTATATATGTATTAAGTATATATATTTATATACGTGTGTGTATGTATACATATTTGACGCACCCTATTGGTAGACAACTGGGACGATAGACTAGGTAGGTCGCTTGGTCAAGCTGTAAAGAAAGAGAGAAAAGATCAGAGTACCCAGGCTGCTTTACCCGGTGTGGGCACTTCGATGCTTAAGTTAGCGAGTTGGAGTTTTTAGAAAGATAGAAAACAAGAGGGAGAGAGAGAGAGAGAGAGAGCTTGAGTGTTAAATTGTGTGTCCCCTTCTTAGAAAATGTGGGCGCCTTTATATAGGCATCGGTTGGTGTGAGTTTTACACACCACGTCTAAGATCCCCAAGAGGATGTGACTTTCCGGTCCAAATTCCTTGGAGGTAGTTTCACATGCAGATTAGGCTTCTGTGCCTTATCCGATTGCCTTCGGAACAATCGGTGTGGGAGCTGACTTTCGAAGGACCTGAGAGTGATAAGACATACGCAGAGGAGGTCGGCGAGCACGGTCACCACCTAGACCTCAGTCAAGTCAATAAGTCCTTCGAGGTAGGTCACTCCTAACACCGAGGTCCCTTGGACCGGTACTAACAAGGTACCACAGGTCAGCCCTGGACGAGGGGCTGCTAGCTGCTCTCCCAAGGTACCACAGGTCAGCCTTATCCGATTGCCTCTGGAATAATCGGTGCGGGAGCTGACTTTCGGAGGACTTGGGAGTGATAAGACATACGCAAAGGAGGTCGGCGAGCATGGTCGCCACCTAGACCTCAATCAAGTCAATAAGTCCTTCGAGGTAGGTTACTCCTAACACCGAGGTCCCTTGGACCGGTACTAACAAGGTACCACAAGTCAACCCTAGACAAGGGGCTGCTAGCTGCTCTCCCAAGGTGCCCGAGCTGTATGCTCCAGTGTGCAACCCGTAACCGTCACTGGGTTGAACAGATCAACAATCGAACCGACCGAGCCGAACGGTACCTAACTAAGTCAACGGTTTTTGATCATTTGGCGGGTCTTGACAGAACCATACCCAAATTCTTGGCCAAGTGATGGTTTGAACGGTTCAACCGGCCAGATCAACAGTGGGTTGAAAACATTAGTAAATTGTTGAAACTTCCTTTGAAGTTTTTGGTTGTTGTTGAAACCAACTTTGAAGTTTGGTAGTTGTAATTGCCTCCCTGATGTGTCTGGAAGCGTGTCGTTAACCACTTCGGAACACTAGTTTAAACATTTATAAATTTTTTCGATTCTCAAACAATTACAAACGCAGTAAAAGGGTGAGAATGGATCGTATCCATAGGGAAGCGAGGGAAAAATTAATACATACTCAAATCCGGATAAGAGAACACAAGAGGGAAGTGCAGAAATATAAAAATTAATTAATTAAACTAAGGAAAATATAGAATTCGAATAGTATTGAAAGTTAAATGTGTAGAAACATAAATAAATAAATGAAAAAAATGAAATAAAAATATGTAATCCGATCAGAGGTAGCAGTCTCCGGATCTCTCCTTTGACCCTCGAACTTCTCGAACTAAGCCTTCTGTTTTACCTGGCTAAATTGCAGATCTGCAGAAAAGAAAACAAAAATCAAACAGAATGAAAATAACGAAATTGGAATTGAAAGAACATAAATTAAAACTAAAATAAATTAAAAGTGGTTGGGATCCGATTCCAGAGGTAGCAGTAGTGGTGTTGGCGAACTGCAAATAGGAACCCCTCCTCTCGCCTGGGCGTCCTCCTCTTCCTCTACCATTGAACTTCTCAAGATCAACCTTCCGTCTTACCTGGGGGCAGAATCCAACCCTTTCTCAGGAGCTCTTGGGCGTTTTTTATAGAGAAGGATGGATATAACTGGAATTAGAGAGAAAGAGGGGGTGGTAGCTGGGTTTTAGCAAAAATATGAGTGCCCTAGGGTTTAGAATGAAGGGTTATGATGGTTCTAGGGTGATCCTAAGGCTGAGAAGAAAAGGAGAGGGTGGCCAATATTATGTAGGGTTGAGATTTAATGGTTAGGGGTTGAATGGTGAGGATTAGCAGTTAGGTGGCACCCTAGGGTTTAAAAACTACAAAAAGAATGCCTTAGAATGGATGGTGGAGATTAGAAGGAGTTGAGGGTGGAGATTAATCAAGTAGGGGTGGTTAGGGTTTGCTAAGAGTGAAAAGAATGGGTTAAAAGGCGCCCTAGGGTTTTCTAAAACGTGGGGAGCATGCTAATACAGTAGGAGGAGCGCTAAACTAGGTTTAGTAGCTAGGAGATGCCCTCCTGCTTTCTGTTTTTCACAAAAACACCCCATCTCTCAGTTGGACTTCACACCACCTTCCCAAAATCTGCATTTTAGCCAAGAAAGCTTCCCAAATTTGCATAAAATTTGCACATGAACTCTTATAGGTCACAACATTGAAATTAACTGGGAAAATGACACAATTTGACTATTCTAAGGTTAAAAATACCCCTGAATTGATGCCCTTGAGGCATTAAAATGTAGAGTTATTATTCTCCTAAACTTTCTAACATAGTTGCAAGTAGATCCCCTTTGTTAGAACCCTCTAAGAGGCATGAAAATGTCCAAAATACCCACATAGTTACTTTTTATCAAAATGTAAATCTTCTAAATTTTCTCTTCATCTAGTCATGAATGGCTAGTCCAAACCCTTCTAATCTCTTTTTTGAAATAAGATTTATTTTCTAAATTTGCTCTTTGATTAAATCGCTTAAAAGTAAAGCTGCAACTTTATATTCTCTTTTTTATTGTTTATAAAATTTATAATTTTTTTTCTATGGAAACCAGCCTCAATAATAATTGCATAAATATTTTAGATATTTTTGTATTTTTTGTTAGAAGATTCAAACATAGGCATCTACTTACAACTGCATCAAAAAGTTGAGGGAGACGATTGCATTTACCAAATTTCAGGATAGGTTTCAACAAGGGTAGGTTTTAGCAATGTTCAAAAACTTCAGAGGAAGGTTTCAGAAATAGACCCAATTTTTTGGCTTCTTAAAATCTGACTTATTTTTACGAATAAGCATTTATTCTGCTTTTTCATCAAATGCACTTGTATTTATTGATATCATATCAGCCTAAAATAAGTGATTATTCAAATAAACGCTTAAAAATAACTCTTTTAAACAGGGGCTTAATTACGATTGTTCAACCACTTAATTGTACGTTAGTAGCATCCATAGATTTTTGCCTAGTTTGAGTGGACGTTTGTTCCCCTGGCTATTTGTTGCGATATTAAGTAACCACATGGCAAATGCAGTGATGCACTGATTTTGGGTGTGCAGGAAACACACGAGAATTATTCATTGATCTGATACTTATCATCGCACATCACATCCTTACTAAAGAAGAATTAAAATATAAATAAAAGACGCGAATGGGGAAGAAGAAGACGGAAAAGGAGAATTATAAGAACAACTCAGAAACAACATGCACGGAGTGCGGGGAGTAATCCCAAGTAGATATGAAATGTGATCTATTCCGCCCTGAGCAAGTATCTATATGCGAAGAAGAAGCCGGCAACCAGTAGTGGGACGAAGAACTCAATGAAGGCAGCGTATTTGGGCAAGCCATCGTCCTTGATCACGAACGCAGTCATCTCCTTCCCTTTGGTTTCCTTGATGACCCCATCCTTAGAATCTTCTTGTTGGAACTTGAAACCCTGGAGGACTCCCACTTGGTACTTTAGCACTAACGCCTGAGCAGCTTTGCTGTGGCCGATCGCCTCGAATTCCTTTGACGCATCCTTTCCTGCCGACTCTAACAGCACCTCTTCTCCTCCCGGGTGTTCTACCAGGAAACTTGTCGCGTCCAATACCTGTAAATTCACGAATCATTTTAAGATCAATCACAGAGAGAGAGAGAGAGAGAGAGAGAGAAAGAGAGAGAGACCTTGCCATTGATGACAAACCAGCAATCTTTCTTAGATTTGTGTTGGGCGACCTGTGAAAGTGTGAAGACTCTTTTATCTGCCATTATTTTCGATCTTTACGTGTGTGTGTGAGCACTGAGCAGGAAGGAAATTAAAACTGGCAGAGTGGACACCACGGAGATGGAAATTTGTAGGGGGAAGACATCCCTTCTCAGTTCTCACGTTGTCTTCATTTTTTTTTTAGGTAAAACCCGTTGTCTGCTTTGAGGGTTAGGTGAGTTAGAAACCCAACCACCGAACCAAGAGGTTTAAAGAACTTCACGGTCCAGCCCAGGGAACATGCGTTTTGCAGATGGTTTAAACTTTAAATGCTTCGGAATCGGCCGGAAATAATGGTCCTCACTCCTCAGGATCGGATTGGGGAATGGGGATGTATATTATCTCCTCCCTATTTGGTTCTGGCAATGGCTGCCAATGTTAATTGTGGTAGGTGCCACACGACTAGCTACGCACCCACGCGAAGTAACAACTTCTGTTAGCTACCTTTTTAATTGGGTAGTTACTCACGTGTTCTTCATAACCAGAGCTTAATGGTCCAACACAAGACAACTCTACTTCACCTCACGTGTTCTCATGAGTTTTCTTTTCACAATCCTCCTTTATAGTTTCGATTTAACAAAAACCCCCTATACTTTTTAAAAAATATGCAATTACCTCCCTTTTTAAACAGAAAAGCCAACTTAATGTTTTTGTTTTTTTAAAATACCTATTTGTCCTTATATTTATTAAAATACTATCGACACCATCCACACACCTTTGTCTTTGTCTCTATTCTTTGCAGCATCTCCAATTCCTCCGATTTTAGACATGATCCTTCTTCGCAGATGCATGGCGACGGCTTCAACCTTGCTTATTCTCTCTTCGTGCAAACATCATCCTCACTAACGTTGCCTTAGATTGCTTTTGCCTTTTCAGATATCCCCAACCAACACCGACCTTGTAAGTCCTGGTTCCAGCTCTTTTACCTCTTATTCGGCGGGAATAAATGGCATAAATAACATGGTCGTGGGTTCTCCTCCGGCCACATCATCTTTGTTAGCTACTACTTTGGCTTCTCCTTTCTATGATGGTGGTACCGATCTGATTGATGAGCTTTAGCTCCAAGACCAGTTGTCATTCCTCAACAATGATTCCTCCACACATGGACTAAAAAACATGCCCCTCCACGTCACCTCGTGATCTCTATCGTATGGTATGTATCTTCGTCCTCATCCTTTCTTGTATGCTTATGAAAAACTGCTTAAGTGCACCTCCATTCAAGAGATGGCTTCCGTCCTCGCGACTGCAGCAAAGAAGGTTGGTCCAGCTATACAACAACAAGCACTTGTGTTGATGGATGCTGCAACCGTTAATATACGCCATCTTTTGAAGCTTGGTGTCAAGGCTCATGGTTGTAATGGTTTGTCTTATGCTCTCAATTAAGTAGGTTTGAACTTCTTTAATTTCATTATGGTGTTCTAAAATTTGATGAAACAACTGTCTTTTTGAGATTTATAAGGCCAATGGATTGCTTGAAATGTAGAAAAGATGCTTGAAGCACAGAGGGGTTTTAGATTTTCATTATTGTCAATCAGAAGCATAGAAGGTCCTTGTTTACAGATCATTTGATCTCCAAAAATTCTACTTAGATGTTTCCGTTTACTACAATGGTGGATTCTGTATCGTTGCCAATCCACTGATACATTTTCAAGATGTGCTGAGAGTCTCTGAAATTGATTTTGTTTAGGAAAAAGGCCATGAATATACGATGGACATGGTAAATTAAAGAAAGTGGGGCAAACTTAAGAGATACAAAAGGCTGCTGGTTCTCAATTCTCGAAAGAAAATAAACAGTGTTTTGGAGGGTATTTTAATAAATTCATGTCTAAATAAATAGACATAAAGGCAAAATAAGCATTTTAAAAACAAACACATTTGATCGGCTTTTTTGTTTAAGAAGAGAAGTAGTTGCATATTTTCTAAAAAGTATAAGGAAGGTTTTTATTAAAGTTAAACTATATAAAAGGTTTTTATGATTGTTAGAAAACTCAGAGGAGGTTTTTGTTTTTTAGCTTTTATTTTGATAATATGGAACCGTAGGAATGTATTGTAGGCCATGATTTCACTTCAGCGCTACTCCCTACCAATGGATTTTTTAATGTTTATTTCGTTCATTACAGATTACATAAGAAACACATTTGTGGTGGGTTGTGCTTGATTTTTTTTGGTAAAAGACTTAAGTCTCCTTTAATATTTCTCCTAAAACCTCCCGTATTTTTTTAATGGACTAAGACCTCCCCTCCCAGAGACAAATAGCCTTTATTACAAATTGATAAATTAAAAAGTTTAATATACCCTTACAATAAAAAATACTATCATCAACAGTATTAAATATAAACATAACTTTGCACAGAAATATACATAATAATTGGAACAAAAAATGTTTTCGGTTAATATCAATAAATCCTTGGTTCAACAATATAAAATTTTCTTATCTAATGTTGCCTTCAAGTATCAAGTCAATTATTCTCCACGCATGTGTACACTTAATTCACCAAATTCATCATCGGCTTCTTCAGTTATCTCTGACGAGTGGATAGCATCTAATTTCGTTTGGGGAAAAACTATGATACAGAAAAGATATAATATAGAAAGAGTTTTGGCCAACCAAAATTCACCTATGAATTTTGATAAATAACATTTTATTTGCTTTCATGTTTATGATTTTAATTTATTGATCAGTTATTTTTCTCATATCATAATCAAACCCGTTTGTTTAAGCACTTTCATTGATTGATAATCAAGGGTGAAGCTTTAATGGTGCTTTTTTTGGGATAATTATTTATGTACACGTTTAGGAAATTAAATGTATCCTATAATTTTAAAAATTACTTATAAAAGACAAAAATATCATTTAACTGTCTATTAAATTTTCAAAACATGCCAAACTTTTACTTCTCCCAACTCAACGAATTTGAGAATGCAGGTTTCTCTATTTCTACAAAAGATCCACATATCGCACATATTTGCCACTGCACATCGCTTTTCATGCTTCACAACACTCCTTAGAAGTATTGAACATTTTTTTTTGGCGAGATAAAGGCAGCTTCATTGCTTATAAGAGAGCTTTACAGATGGTTGAGTGACCAAATTATAACTGATCATCACTTGGCCTTAACTGATTAAACTGTCTATTTATATGCACAAAGGATATAGACAAAAGCCACCCAAAGCTCCAATTTCTTGATCCCCTTACAACACTTCCCCTCCTCTAACTCTGAGACTCCCTCCAAATTGTCGTTAATTAGAGTTGACAATGACACCGCTAAATCCAAGTCTACACCTGAAGGAATTCTGGGTATAAAGACCACGGATCGATATACACATATAAACTAGATAGCAAGAGGAGAGACCAATCAATAAACAGATTAGAAGAGCCCAACAACTAGCTCCGGAATCATTGGCCACATATTTCAAACATTTTCAATGTCTTTTTAGTTTTTTATGTTCTCTCTCTCTCTATGGGGTTTGGTTCAACAAACATTGTTTCAAAGGGGTTTGGTATCGTCCACGATTGAGTTTCCGTAGCAAATGCTTCAATTATAATGTATGTATTTGATAGAACTTTCATTTATTAATTAAACGTCTGTATTTAATTTATCTTTAAAACTGAAAAAAAAAATAATGTCAACCATTTATGATAAGTAGGCGCCACTAGATGCCATTAGAAACTATATTAGTAGATCAGTGAATAAACGTTTAATTGTTGGGAGAAGTGTTAAAATGAAATTTTCTCCAACGGTAGACATACACATAAATCAAAGTAATATTTTACAAGTGTCCATATGTATGAATTACTATGAAGGGCTAAATAATGATTTGACAATGACATGATAGCATTTTGATAAATACCTACCATTAAACAAAATACATGCTATATGGTTTGATAAAACGTTTACAGGGTTAGGAGTTAGCGGCTTGTGAGGCTAATGATGCAGAGTTTCCATTATGATTGGAGATTGTCTCTTTGTTCTCAACTTGATGAATTAACAGCTTGTTCCTCTGTGGTGTCTTTCATCTTTAATCAACTTTCAAAGAAATATATACTTGTACTACTATACTTGATTTTGATGCATGTCATAAATGTTAAATTTAATTGTATAATCTCAATTTTTATTTTTACCTTTTATTTATTAGAATGGAGATGTTGATCTATACCCTGAAAATTTCGACGGGAAGCGACTAAAACGGAAAGGAGAAAAGAAGGGGAAATATGAGTTGATAGGATCGTCGGAGGGATTGTTTAATACCCTCTGGCAAGAGACGAAGCCATTACGAACCCTCCGGCAAGAAACAGGCCATTACGACAAGAGGAAGGAGGATTAATGTTGGTCATAGAAGAAGAGGAGAACTGGAAAAGAGAGGAGAGGGAGGAAATGGATCTCCAATGGGTAATGGATGAGAAAAGTCCCTAAAAATAGGTTTGGAGCTCATATTTATAGAGCTTTTTGGTCCATATTCTTGAAGTTTCTTATCTTATTCTTTTCTACTTTTACCCTTAATTATTTTGTAATGTTCTAATACTTAATTAATCACATGTTTAATTAACATTCTAGAATATTTATGACCTAATCTGAATGCTTTGTTTTTCTAGAATATTTTATCATTTAATTAATATTCTGGAGTATTCAGCACTTGGACCTTTAGTTGGGTCTAACCCAAATTTATCCCAAGTCACCTGAGTCCAAATACTTATGTAATATCATCCTCTTACTGTATACATGCATAATGCATGACTACACACCAGTATTATAAAAAGATATTATATATTTATAAAATATAAAAAAGATTATATTCTTTTATAAAATATAAAAATATATTCATTTTTGAACTTTCAAGTTAAATTCAACTCATTGGATATTTAATGAAATTGAGCTCAAACGTGAAAATAGAGTTCAAGTCAAATATAAAAATAATAATATTCTAGTAGAACGGAGACATGACATGTCAAAATTCAACTTGACTTAGGGTAGATTACACGGGTGACTGAAGGTCCTGACACCACACCTCATTGCTAATTCATACACAGCCCAACTGTGGGATCTTCTGTTTCACTTTTGTCTGTGTTTGGTAACATTACATTTATGTAT